TTTTTAGTTAAAACTGTTCTACTGGAACTGCAGTTCACCTGCATAAATCTATGAAAGCGTTCTATGATTTCTAAGTGGCCGTTGAGATGACGATGCTCAAACCTTCGCCTTGGCGCTCTCGGAATTTTCAAAATTTTTTGTACATGTAACGACTCTAGTCACAAATTTTATCGTTTAGCCCAATGAGTCTCGAAAAATGCCAAATTATCTCGATAACTATTGCTAGGCACCTCAAATGACGTTCTTTACTAACTATACTATTTAAGAAACCCATTCACACTATAACTTTCGTTGTCAGTACGGCTGAATCATGGCATTTGTAGCTTAGGGCCCTTTAAAGAATTATGTAATCTTCCATTATACTCGTCTCTATCTTTAGTTGTCTGGTTATTTGGATACTCTGACATCGCAAGCATCAATAGTCCGTTCAACCTGCCAGTTCCGCATTTCGAATGTTCGTTTGACAATTCTTGCACTTATCAATGCTTAAGAATTGAACTATTCTTTTTTATTTCATACGTGAACAGTCACAGACATGAAAACATGCATTCGCCCACATGCATATACCCTTCTGTGTGGGCACACGAGCACTAAGCCACATACATACTTTTAGATGTGTGCACTTGGTGTTGGCGAACGCCGAATTTTGTATAAATATGCACACACGCACGTCCATAAATGTCCGACAGTTTGCGTGTCAGACCAGCTCACCATTCTTCACCCGTCCCTCTTATTATGTACTCCAGCCTGCGTAACGATGACTTGACAAATCCTGGGTCATTTTGGTTGCCCAGCCTCAGCCATCCCGTAACCCACGATCCCTAGTATTGTTACATTATTCTTCTTTATCCCTCTTATTAATCCGCATAATAGATTGTACCGAGCATGCATGGAGAAGCGTCTCATGTGATCTCAGCACGAAAATATACATGCCACACTTGCAGATAATCGACTTTTATGGTGCTCACACCATTGCTTAGCACACAAACCAAAGGGCCGAATAAGAACGGGCTACCCGACGATATGCGAATGTGCTCCGAACAGACTAAGTCTGTTCCCTTGCATTTTCTTGGATTCACTAGGACCCATTATCCGGAAAACATCCATGTGCACAACCCGGGCTGCATGACTGCCGCACTCGCCGATCAGTCTGTTTCAACCTCACCCCATTCTCATTTTAAAGAATACAAATTGTTCTTGTTTTTTCGGTCTCATAAATAATGCCACAGGATGTGTTACCGTAAAGGCAAGAATAAGAGCGCGCGGGTAACCACCTAATACAAAAGTACCGAGACTTAGGCTCGGGAACATCACCCTCATAATAGCTAGTCGATTGCCTTCCGGTGCAGCAGGTATCAGTCCTTTTGGTTCATGGCGACATGGAATAGTAGGCGGGACGAGTTAAACGGATCAGGACTAACTTGGACATGACTAAACAGAGCGAGGGGAAGTCCGCCCGGGAGAGCAGATGAAACGATCTGTCATACAAGAACTGCCGGCACGGCGAAACCACTCGCACCTTGGTGATAATACGCTGTCCGTCGACGAAGACCGGATTGACAATAACAAGCGAGTACCGGGCGACCAGAGGCAAGACAGAATTGTAACATCTGATAAAACCATACTGGGGTACCAACACGAAGATTAACCGACAGTCCTGAGGCTTGCGCAAGGCCTAACCCGGTTAGGATTAGTAAGAAAAAGAATAGCGGCAACTCCCGGCCAGGGGAACGCTAGCACTGGACTGAGTTAAGCGAGGCGAAGTATTCGTAGGTAGGCTAGTAAGCGGCACTAAAACACCCGAAGGGACCCACAACGAAAGGAAGAAAGAGAAGTGACTGAGATTTAAAGTTTACTTAAACAAAGACCCATAGTGGCCAAAGTGTAGCTCAATATTTGGCTTACAAGGGAATTCGATAGCATAATTTTTGGGAGCGTATTAAATGGTAGCAAATGCCAAAATGAGGTTCCGAGTACCTCAGCCTTCGACGGTGCAGTCCACAGCAATGTGTCCATAGCTCTTACATTTAAAGCATTGACGGCCTTGTCCACTTTCGGGGCAATCTCTTGCGATGTGACCGGGCTTGTTGCACCTAGTGAGAAATAAAAACAAAATAAACGTACGTGTAGCACTGTATACCACCGCGGTCATTAGATCTATATTTTGCGGGACAATCTCGGGATATATGACCATCCTCTCCGCAAGAGTAGCAACCGCCACCGCGGCCACGACGACTAAAGCCGCCACCACCGCTTCCGCCTCCGCCGCCTCCACCACCTCCACCGCCGCCACCACTACCACCAGAACGTCCGCCATTGTAAGACTGACTGCAATCACGGGCCATATGGCTACCTCCACAATTGTAGCAGCCAGTCCCTGAAGAATAAGATAGGCGGATGAAACAAATGGGAGCACTGCGCCAAACCCGCCCGCTACTCTACTTGCTCTCGATTTTACCTGTGCTTGAAAAATGCCCTGGACGAGCTGCGTACCCGTTACTGAGGGATAAGAACAGACGCCCCTTAAATTACCACAACCTCAATGATGCCTGCGGCGAGCGAGGCCAAGAGGATCTGAAATTGTAAATGGAGCGTCTTGTTCAATGGTAAGGCGAGGTTAGACTATGCACATTCCCCAAAGTCAAAGGCAAAAACTTACCAGACATAGGGTAACCCCCACGGCTGCCACGAGATCCACCTCGGTTTCCACGATAATCGCCACCAGGGGTTGAACATTGGGAGGATATATGGCCTACCATGCCACAACGGTAGCATGAACGATTGTCCATGACTGAGAGAAGGAAGTGAAATAAATCGCCTAGGCTGGGGAACAGGAAACGACGAAAACAAAACGGGCTTACTTCAGATAAAGTACGTAAAAATTATATAACAATAATTAAATTATAAATTTTACAGATGAAATAAAATTAATTTATAACAAAGATAAGATAGGATTTTTAGTTTTATTTATCTTGAGATTAAGTCTGACAAGAAAAAGATTGACGCTAGAAATGAGTTTGTGTAAACATCTACGAAGCGCGAGCAGCATTTAATAATTATCGTAACCTCTTCGAACTAGGTTTTAATTAAGTTTAGCTTATTCAACAGAATGAAGCGAAACGAAAATTTATTACGTTCATATTTTCAGCA